CCTCAGCTTTCTCAGTTTCTGCCTGTTCCACAGGGACAGCATGAGCAATCAGCTCACTGTGTTTTTGAGGGTATTACATCCTGTAATGCATGTGGAGGGACCTAGCACCATGCCTGGCACACGGCTGTAGCTATAGCTTTACTGATGGAGAAGCTGGGGTCACAAGCCAACGAGTGACTTGCCCAAGCTGGTGGTTTTGTGGCCCAGGATGGCAGGGCCCTGCCTCTCCGATAGCCTGGGTGCCCAACTACTGGCCAATGAGGAAATCCACCTGCACTGGGGACCGCTATGCCTAGCTGTGTCCCTTCTAGAAGCAGCCACAGCGGCAAAAGTCTGAGTAGGGCCTCTGTCTGGCGTAAAGGCGGGTTGGGCTGATCACAGTCACCACGGGCCGCTCAGTGGGGAGCCCTGGACAGCCGGGTCTGACTGTTCCCCAGGGGCAGGGTTACCTCCACATGGGACGGTCTGACCTGTGTCAGCCTCACACCTCTGCTGAACAGAGCCCGCCCTCAGGAAACCTGGGATGAGGGAGCCTGATCACGTCTGGTTTTAGAGCTGCCACCCCTAGCTCAGTCCTCCAGCCTGGCCCAGCGCACATGGGGCCCCCAGCAGACAAGCCCTGCTAAGAGCACAAGGCCTGCTCGGTCCCTGGCAGCACTAGTGGAAGCAGGCAGCAGCGTGGGGGGATTCGAGGCCGCACGTCCGGCCACGCGACTCCCAGGGCAGAGCTGTGCTGAGTGTGCCAGCTGCCCCTTGGTGGTCCTCCACGGCCTGGACGACCATCGGCCCCTTTTGTCTACTTTTCAAAGCAGAAGCCCTACTGAGAGGGTTCTGAGAAGCAAGGCCAAGACTCCTGGGTTCTCATAAACCTTTTAATAGCAGTAAATGAAGGAAACATTTAACAGTGAGTCCCATGGTGAGGGTTCCTTTTCATTCAAGGATCTTCAACAACAGAAACACCTCAGACTAAAATTCAGAGTGCTAAGTACACAAATTAATGACCATTTATTTCCAAAGGTGACGGCAGAAACCACTGTGGTGCAATCAAAAGGTTTTACAAAACAGAGAAAACATTACAAAATGCCCCAAGAGGCAAGCAAACTGGTAGGGGCACAGAGCACCCAAGAACCAGCTTGGCAAAAATACTCATTCTGCAGCTGTTCAGGGGGATCACAAAGACCGGTTCTAAAGGGAGCTGCTGCGGGGGCGGGGGCCAGGGAGGGGTGTGCCCAGCGCATAGCAATCCCACCCTGGGAATGAGGAAGGACCGGGGCCGGGGCGACGACAGAGGCACTGCCAATTTCCCGGCAGAAGGAATTACAAGTCGGACTATCTTATTCTGTCTACCACAGTAACACCAATAGAGACGAAGAATTCCTCCAAATACAATACGACACTGACACTGAAAGGAAGCAGGTTTCCAAAACAACAGCTCAGCTTGAAATGACTTTTCTTGCTGTGTTTGTTTCGTGCCACGAGTAGCAAACCAGTGTACAAAAATGTCACAAGAGCAGCAACAAGCGACTAGGTTTTCCTGAGCACAAGTGGCTCACTCTATATACAGAAGAGGAAGGTTCGCTCCCTCTCATGGACCCTACCCACCCCCACCCCCACCCCCCAGAGGGCGGGGCAGGGTGTGCAGTGAGGACGCCCCTTCCCGGTAGTCCAAGGAGCATGCGAGGGCCTGCAGGACAGACGTCCTCCCTTATGCCTGGCTCCCGATTTACCAAAACCAGCACCGGTGTCTTGTCTTGTAGGGGCCACACTGGCCCTTCTTCTCCCCTCGCCCGCCTCCCCATCTCCCCTTCAGATGACTCGGGATCAACACGTACACATCCATGGAAGTCTTTTTTTGGCCAAGGGAGGGGGAGGAAGGGTCTTCTGCCAGCCTCCCCCTAACACCAGCGCGCAGAGACGTGCTGACAACCTGCTCTCCGTGGGCAGCTGTGCCCGCTCCGCTAAACACTGGGCCCCGACGCCCCACACACCCTGGCCACGCTGCAAGCAGCTTCTGTGAATGCTGAGAAGTCCCAGGAGAAAGAGAGAAGGTTGACTTCGGGGGACAGAAGCTGTGGCTTCCTCACAAGCTGACAGAGGAACACATCACTGGGCCTCCGGGAAGAAGATAGGCCAGATCATCTTTGGTGTACAGAAGCAAATACCACGGAACACTTTGCTGGCCAATGGCACATAGAAACTTGGCCAGGATGGCTGGGGAAGCCCCTTGGCACTGACAGGAAAGCACAGGGGACGTGCCGGGCAGCCCGGGCCCACTGCTGCAGGGGCCACCCTCCAAGGCAGGCCGCCGAGGGTCTGGCCAGGTAACCTCTCCGCATGGGCCTGGCCCAAGGAAAGAGTCAGGTAGAGACCAATTCAGACGCCCGCTGCTGCCCAACACCTCCAACGCAGGCCATGACTCCCTGTGCAACCTGGGACGGGACTTGCTCTCTGTTCCTTCCCCCTACATGTTTCTGAGCCAACCAGAAGCCCTGCATCTCCCCTTCTCATCCCCCTCCCCCGGACAGGTGCACCTGCCTCTGGCCTGGCCAAGCCAGGCACATAGCTTCCACTTTCTTCTTTCCCCCTAAGCAGCAGAAAGGTGCCAGCCAGCGTGGCGAACTTTTAGAGGCACGCCAGTGCAAGGGAAGCTCGAGCTGACTGGCACCCCGCACCAGGCCATGGAGACAGGGAGGAAGAGAGCCCCTTTCCTTTTGCAAAGAGGCCAAGGGGCACTGAGGTCTTGCCTCTTCCGGAGGGCAACCCAGGGCTGAGAGGCACTAAGAAAAATTCGGCCAAACCCTCAAAGATGGCAGAAAATGAAGGTCACGCATCTTGAGGAGCTCACGGGGAGCCAGAGCATGCGGTGTTCCGCCTTCCTGCAACCCCACGCCCTGGGGATTGATGACCTCACTGCCAGCGTACCTCTGCAAAGGGATGGGCCCCGCCGTGGTTGCTTCCCTGGGCCTCGCCTTGCTAGGAGAGACTTCTCCATCCTGCTGCCTCCTGTAGGCCCACTTGCTAAAATCATGACCACTGAGTCACTGAAACTCAATCTAGGTCTGATACAGTAACACCTGAAATATTGAATGGGCCCAGGGCAACTGGGTGGCCTAGAGTGGGAGAGGGAGGGGGGCTCATCAGAGGAGGTCACAGAAATATCTTTTCTGTTATTAAGTAATCTATTCTTAGTAAGAGCCAACAAGGAGCCAGCAAATGGCACCACCTCCTTCTTGAGGTCCATGTATGACTGAGGCTGCCTTGCAACAAAAGGTCTCCCTTTCAGAGCACTTGAACCTCCACCCATGGGGACCTGATTTTTTGGTACCTCCCTTTCAACCCAGGCGTGGGCTTTCGGGCTGGGGAGCATGTGATGCCCCCGCCCCCCATGCTAAACAATTCATCTCTGAGTCTGGCCGCAGTGACGACACCTGGCCCTAGGGAAACAGCACTGCAGGATCTGTATCTTCCCAAACCTAGGATGCCGATACGTGCTGTAAAACCACGAGACGGATCGACAGGTGTCCCTCCAGAGACAGGCCCTAATTCAAGGATTCTCCGAACTCAAACATCCAAAAGCAAATGGACAGACGAATACACAAAACTCCAAGAGCCAGAAAACCCAACTCTAGCTCATCCTTCCCTGAAGCTGCCTTTAAAAAAGAGAGAGAGAACATTTAAGGGGCACTCAAAATTAAAACGTCATCTATTATCAACATTAAACTAAAAGCAAGCATATGATTCAAATCACAGTTTTCTCAAGTTACCACGGCTTTTGACTAATTTCTGTGCTCACTTCTGATTGGGATATGGGTCAGTTCTCAGCTCTCAAGCAGAATTTACCCAAGGTCCTGCCTAACATTAGCTGTGGACATTTCAACCCTGTGCACTTTGGATTTGCCATTGCAATAGTGGAATCTAGCCCCTGGGCTGGGTAGCGCCCCACACCTCCCACCTCTGGCAGCATCCTGGAGGGAGTGGCTGGTTGGCTGCTTGCTTTGAGTCATGGGACACCAGTGGGAAGAATCTGGCCAGCTCTCTTTTGGCCATGAGCTGGGAAATCCCTTGGCTCTCGGCTTGCCGCTGGTATAGAAACAAGGCCTCAGTCCCCTTATGGTGAGGGCTGTGCTGGAGACAAAAGGGGACCCCAGCATAAGCCTGGAGGTCCCTGGCAGTGGAGAAATGAAACACAGCCCAATCTCATCGCTTCGATGCCAAAAGAACTACTGCTTGTTGTTCCCTTTCTCCTCAACCAGATGTTGTTAAAGCAGCAACTAGCAGAGTGAAAGCCACTGACTACTGTCTCGCCATTTAAGGCCACGAGGAGCAGGGAGAGAGCGGCAAAGGGAAGGAGGAAACGTGCGGCCCTCGGCACTACCGCCCAGGCTCCAGCACTACCGCCCAGGCTCCAGCACTACCGCCCAGGCTCCAGGACTACCGCCCAGGCTCCAGCACTACCGCCCGGGCTCCAGCACTACCGCCCGGGCTCCAGGACTACCGCCCAGGCTCCAGCACTACCGCCCGGGCTCCAACACTACCGCCCAGGCTCCAGCACTACAGCCCATGCTCCAGCACTACAGCCCAGGCTCCAGCACTACCGCCCAGGCTCCAGCACTACAGCCCATGCTCCAGCACTACAGCCCTGGCTCCAGGACTACAGCCCAGGATCCAGCACTACCACCCAGGCTCCAGGACTACAGCCCAGGCTCCAGCACTACAGCCCAGGCTCCAGGACTACAGCCCAGGCTGCAGCACTACAGCCCAGGCTCCAGGACTACAGCCCAGGCTCCAGGAGCCGATCTGGGGGAAGAGCCGGGGAAGGAAGAGTGGTGGAAGAAAGGGACAGAGAGGAAGGAAAAAGAAACACACCAAACGTCCTCCTGCCCTCTCCCATGATGTCATCAAGAGCTGGGTGTCCTCCAAGTGGAGTCAGGACTTGTTTCCTCAGGGGCAGAAGAAAAAAAAAACCCCAAAACAAAACAAAACAAAAAAAACACAAGCACCTTCAGTCTATTTTCTTGGCTGGAAGCCGGAGCAAATCCAGCAGACATTTACACAAGGGCCCAGCCATGTATGAGAACAGGATGACCAGCTTCCCGTGGGTCATGGTCATGAGAGTCTGGTGTCCCGAGGCCCAGATGCGATACCAGGGGCCGTAGAATGGGTCTGAGATGGCCGGACACAGCATGTTGTTCAAATTCACTTCGGTGACCTGCAGGGACAAGGGAGGTAGAGTGAGCGTTCACCATCCTTAGGCTTTCTCTGGCTTCTGCCAGTTCAGCCGTGTCTACCTAATGGGGACTAGACAAGGAGGGATTGACAAATCCCCACCTGTTCATAGTGGGATCTTTCTCCCCTAGGTTTTCTGAGCGGGTCAAGGCTAGAGCCCTTTGGAGGTGACGGGGGAGGCCGTCCAGTGGAAAAGCTGGTCGGTTTTGCTCAGTCTTGCCTTCCAGTTGGGCCCAGGGCCCGTTGCCATTCCTAAGCATTTACTAGGTGCCTAGACCCGGAGGGGTGTCATGGGATAAAGGCAGTCCGCGGCACAGCCCCTGCCTGCATCAAGGTGGGGTGATCGGTCTACCACGTGTGACCTCAAAGCAGACGGTGCTCACCAGCTCTTGCCCACCATGGGATCTGAGGGGTGTACAGGACGGGGGCTGAGTTCTCAGAGAAGACTTCACGAGGGCAGTGACACCTGAATGGACTCATGAAGGATGGATGGGGGTCATGGCGAGAAATGGAGTGAACGGAGCCTTCCTTGTAGGAGGCCCAGAGGTGACACCGAGCACGGTACGTATGGTGACGTGAGCACACTGACTCCTCTGGAATCGAGGAGTCCCAGTGGAGAGCAGGTGTGAAGGTCATACTGCTTCCTCCCTAGAGAACAGGAAGCATTCATGCTATTGGCAAGGAGCTCAAACTAGCCCCCAGGCCAACCAGAGCAGAGCAACACGCCGGGATGGGGAAGACAAAATGACTGAGTGCTTCAACAAAGGCGCTGGTGACATCGGTTACACACCCTAGTCCTGCCAGGTCCACGCGGCTAACGCTACATTAGTGCCGCTCGCACACAAAACCCGGCATGCCGCTCCAGCCTCGAACACGGCCACGGCCACGGCCCCTGCCTTCCAAAGCCCTTCAAGCACGTTCTCCTTAAAGACAAATCCTCACCACCTCTCAGGGTCGGGGTTGCGGGCCTGTGCCGTGTCACAGAGGGGGGAGAGCGCACTGCACTCGAGAATGAGGTGACTCACCCAGAGCAGTGGCAAGGCCAGGACTTGAACTTGGGTCTCCCGACCCCAGCCCCAGCCCCAAGCTCTTGCTACTCACTTCGCCACCACTAGACACATCGCCCACGCACTCAGCAATCCTGGGCTCTGGATAACTCGACTACTGAACATCCCAGAATGCCACGGGGGTCACCCGACACCACACTTTCACTGGACACACAGCTCAGGGCCCGGTAGTAGACCCAGAATGGACCCAAGGTCAGAAGCCTCCCCCAGGCCCAGGGCCAGGGCTAGCATCCTGCCTTGCATGGGGTCCACAGCAAACCACTTTCCAGCGCAGCTCTCTATCTCCGATCCAAGCGGCCGTGAGTGAAGGGCCTCCTTGCCTCCCCAGGGGTGAAAGAAACAGTCATTACTGAAGGATTCAGAAAACTCTTTGGAGAGGCCAAGACTGTGGATCGTAAATCAAGAGCCCAGACACAACACTCTGACAGCCTGGCCTTTGGCATCTTGTATTTTCAAAACAAAACGATACACCAGCGCCAACCAGGATTATCAAGATTTATGAAGAACGCCAAACAGAAGGGATAGAAGGGGATAGAACCAAACTTACCAGGCCCAGGATCTGCAAGACGCTGAAGTGATAAAAGAACATGAGGCCAGTCGAGAGAAGGGCCCAGCGGAAACTGCTGAGGGGCTCCGGGGTATAAGCACCTGGGGGGAAAGCGGAGACAGTGAGACAGCACGTTTGGTGACCCTCTTCTCCTCCCTTGTCCCACGAGGGTGCGGGCGCTGCGGCCACAGCTACCGCCTGCTGTTTACCCCCTTCTGCTGCCCTGCGATGGCTGCTCGAGAGACAGCCCAAACCGATTAGCTGGGTACTCCTATCACCCCTTCCAAAGTCTGTTCTGCCACGTAATGCTGGGGCCATTACAAAGAGGGATTTTTTTTTTTTTTTTACTGTTATTATAAAAGTAATACAGTCGGCCCTCTGTATCTGCAGGTTCCACATCCACGGGTTCCACTAACCGGATCGGTCCATGGTTAGTTGAACTTGTGGATGCGGAATCCACGGATCCGGACGGCCGACTGTACTGCACCGTTTTCTATAAGGGGCTTGATCAGCCTCAGATTTTGGTACCCGCAGGGGTCCTGGAACCAGTCCCCCTCGGACACTGAGGGATGACTGCACGTGCTCACTAAAGGAAACTTAGAAAATGTTAAAAGGTAGAAATGAGATGGAGGAAACAAAGAAAAACACCCCCGGCGCTCTACTAGCTGAATGTGACCACTGCTAGCACGTGGGTGTGTCTCCTTGGTTCCTGTATGCCTTGGGAGCTTCTTTTCTTTCTTCTTTTGATTACTAATTGGAATTTTACTGTATATATAATTGTATAGCCTTCATGTCCACATTTATTTTAATCATTCCCTCATGTGTCTAAAGAGAAACGTCACTGAGGAAGTATGGCATGGTGGTTGAGATGTCACACAGATTTGGTTTCAAACCTGGATTCTACCACTTACTGGCTGTGTGTGACCCTGGAAGAGTTGTTTCAACTCCCTGAACCTCAGCTTACTTGTCTGTAAAGTGGGGCTACTTCTGAGTTGTTGTGAGGAGTAAAGGAAAGAGTGTATTGAGAACTCTTAGTACGGGATCTGGTACAATCAAAGTGTTCAATGCGTGTCAGGTACTGTCGTCACCGCAGCGCTATCATCATTCAAGTAACTAAAGAATGCGCCATATCCAGTTGTTGTGCCATTTCCCAACCATTAGACAACTCTCTCCCCCTTGGAACAGCAAGAATGATGTATTTTCCCTCTATCGTCACTCAGGAACTCCTATCCCAGTAGGCTTGGATGTATTCTAGACCCTGCAGAGCAGGGGCGTGGCTTATAGGATGCTATGGGTGCATGCATCAATGGGGGTGCTCCGGAATGGAAGGAACCTGGAACCCTCTACCTCAAGCAAGTAGGCGGCAACAGGACATCCCGGAGTAGTGTTTTCCCAAGTCAGTCTTTCACAGATTCATCCATTCATTCACCAGTTATTAGGCACCTATTATATTCCAAGCCCTGCGCCAAACTTCGGGGAAAGGAACATAAAGAAGACGGGCTCCCTGCAGCCTCAGATGCGCAATCTGGCAGAGGACGCAGACAAGCTGCTAACGATGAGAATAACATAAAGACCAGGTCTGTGCCACGTATTAGGGGAGGACGGAACTCAGCTTGGGGGGCGGGCGGGGAGACTGATTTTTGGTGGAGGGGGCACCGAGCAGAGTCCTAAAGGACAAATGGGACTAAAAGAGAGGCCTAGGCATTCCAGAGCAGCAGCCTGCAGGAAGGCAGACATCCGTGGGAACGAGCCAACTCACAGAACTATGGGGAAGAGTTGAGACCACAGGGGAATAGGACTCAGAGGTTGGCAGGGCTAGGCTGCTCCCAGCTGGGCCAGGTAGGACCTTAGGAGCCAGGCTGAGGGCTTTGGGCTTCATCTTGTGCCACAGGGTCATGACCCTAGATGCCTCAAACCTCAGGCAGGCAGGTAACTGGGAGCAGGGGGGTGACCAGACAACAGGGATGCTGGAGATGGGCCAACTGGGAAGCCCAGGCCCCTTCTGAAGAGGTCAGCCACCACTCAGTTCCACCCAATCACTGCCCTACGGGGACGTGGGCCCAGAGTTGCCAGTGTTTTCACTTTTGCAAGAGAAGCCAGAAATGGGAACTTTCATATGGAATTTCCTGATTTTTAAACGTTGGCAAATAATTCAGATTGTTTTAAGAACGCTCAACGGACCACACGAAACATGTCTTCTTGGATGGCTTTCAGCTCATTGGTGGCCAGCTTCGAGCTCTGCCGCAGAGCCACAGCAAGCGGCGGAGGGGTCTGAAGCGGGAAAGTGATGCGATCAGACGTGTGCTTGAGAAAGATCTGCCTGGCCGGGGTGCGGGGTGTGGGGTGTGGGCTGGAGCAGAGAGAGTCGAGGTGGGGGACTGAGACAGAGACTGCTTCAGGAACCCGATGACAGAGGAGAATGGATAGCTTTGAAGACAACGGTGGTGGCCCTGGGTTCTAGCTTTGCATCACTGGGTGGATGGTGCCATTTACTGAGATGGAGAAGAGGAAAAGGCAGATTTGGGACAGAAGGTGGAGAAAGGAGGCCAATTTTAGACATGTTGAAGTTGAGGTGTCCGTGAAATATCCAAGTAGAATTGTCTCTTAGGTGGCTGCCTGCACTCTGGGAAATGCAGCGTGACGGGTGACAGTGTGGGCACTGGAGCCGGGCAGACACAGGTTCTCAAATCCTGGCTCTTGTCGCTTATCGACCTCAGGGCCTTGGGCAAGCCTGAGTATCTCTTGAACTCAGTTTCACTCATCTGCAGAATGGGGTGCCGCCGCCTACTTCACACGGTCGTCGGGTAGGTAAGATCACTTAAGCCATGACTGGAGCGCCATATCTGGGATCTAAGAGATGCTGATTATTTTCATTATTATATGAATCACAAACTCAGTGAAAAGGACGGGGCTGAGCGTCCATATATAGGTGTCACCAGCACAGGACAGTAACTGAAATCACAGGAGCATATGCAGACCGAGTGAGGAAGAAGGTCAGAGGCAGAACAAGGAACATCATGGTGGGGAGTGTCGAGGGAAGGAGAGGAGTGAGATGGGGGTGACTGAAGCCCCCCCGGGTCTTCTGGGGGAGAAGCTCAGGCTTGCTCTGTGAACAAGAGGCAGGCTCACCACACATCTGAGTCAGACGGCCCTTTGCAGGGATTGGGCTCATCCGTCCACTTCGTAGATGGACAAACCGAGGCTGGGAGATGGGCAGTGCCGCAGCCAAAGTCAACAGCAGAGCACTGGGCTCTCAGACACAATGCCAAAGGACTCACTGCTCAATGCCCCCGCTGCCACTTGTCACAGACCTCCAGCACACCACGTTGTACCAGCTCTTTATCTACCCGTCTAGACGAGTGCCTCGGGTCGAGGACTGCGTGGGATTCGTTTCTGTGTTCCTAGCAGATATCTAGCACAGAACTTGGAAGGCGCTTATACTGTGTGCACTTTCCTGTCTGCTGGATGAGTGGGGATTGGGTACCATGTTGTCACCCTGACTGCTGGGGACGTAAAGGGGAAGAGGGCACCTGGAGGACCGACAGGTGCTTAGAGCCCTGAGCAGTTTTCCCCAGGTGTCCCTTCCCTCCAGCCTCTGCTTGGCTCCCCCTGGTGGCAGCAGGGCAGTAGTGACAGACCCCATGGGCCTGGGGGTGGCTGCAGGGGGAAAAAAGGACCAGAGGGGGAAGTATCCTCAGCCAGACTTCAGCAGCCCTCCCCCACCCTCCCCTAAAGCCCCTGAACCCTGTCCTGCCCTATATATGGGGGGAAAGGAACGCTCAGGCACTGCCAAGGGGCGCTCAGTGCTCTCACTGCGACCTCAGGACCATTCATTCTGTGTTACATCACCCGTCCCACGTCAAGACGATTAGTTCTCTGAGGGAGGGGCCGTTTCTGAATCACCTCTTCACCTCCAGCACCGGATGCACGGCAGACACTCAAAAAATCATCACTGCTTGGGAAATGAATGGGACAGGCTTTCTGGAGCATCTATAACACTATAACCCTTTGGCTCAACAATGCTACTTTGAGGACTACCGTCCAATACCTCAAACACCCAACACATGGCCCTTATTTGCACAGAGATATTTACACCTGCACTACCTACTATATTGAAACACTGGAAACAAACCAATTGGGGAGATAAGTTAAGTAAACTCTGGTACCTCAGTATTGTGCAACAGTCCGCTGCCATTCAAATAACAACCAGACAAACTATATACCTGTGTGGCAAAGTCCCTGGCCCGTGATGGCAAGTGTAAATGACAGAACTCCAGCACTACAGCCCTGGCTCCAGGACTACAGCCCAGGATCCAGCACTACCACCCAGGCTCCAGGACTACAGCCCAGGCTCCAGCACTACAGCCCAGGCTCCAGGACTACAGCCCAGGCTGCAGCACTACAGCCCAGGCTCCAGGACTACAGCCCAGGCTCCAGGAGCCGAACTGGGGGAAGAGCCGGGGAAGGAAGAGTGGTGGAAGAAAGGGACAGAGAGGAAGGAAAAAGAAACACACCAAACGTCCTCCTGCCCTCTCCCATGATGTCATCAAGAGCTGGGTGTCCTCCAAGTGGAGTCAGGACTTGTTTCCTCAGGGGCAGAAGAAAAAAAAAACCCCAAAACAAAACAAAACAAAAAAAACACAAGCACCTTCAGTCTATTTTCTTGGCTGGAAGCCGGAGCAAATCCAGCAGACATTTACACAAGGGCCCAGCCATGTATGAGAACAGGATGACCAGCTTCCCGTGGGTCATGGTCATGAGAGTCTGGTGTCCCGAGGCCCAGATGCGATACCAGGGGCCGTAGAATGGGTCTGAGATGGCCGGACACAGCATGTTGTTCAAATTCACTTCGGTGACCTGCAGGGACAAGGGAGGTAGAGTGAGCGTTCACCATCCTTAGGCTTTCTCTGGCTTCTGCCAGTTCAGCCGTGTCTACCTAATGGGGACTAGACAAGGAGGGATTGACAAATCCCCACCTGTTCATAGTGGGATCTTTCTCCCCTAGGTTTTCTGAGCGGGTCAAGGCTAGAGCCCTTTGGAGGTGACGGGGGAGGCCGTCCAGTGGAAAAGCTGGTCGGTTTTGCTCAGTCTTGCCTTCCAGTTGGGCCCAGGGCCCGTTGCCATTCCTAAGCATTTACTAGGTGCCTAGACCCGGAGGGGTGTCATGGGATAAAGGCAGTCCGCGGCACGGCCCCTGCCTGCATCAAGGTGGGGTGATCGGTCTACCACGTGTGACCTCAAAGCAGACGGTGCTCACCAGCTCTTGCCCACCATGGGATCTGAGGGGTGTACAGGACGGGGGCTGAGTTCTCAGAGAAGACTTCACGAGGGCAGTGACACCTGAATGGACTCATGAAGGATGGATGGGGGTCATGGCGAGAAATGGAGTGAACGGAGCCTTCCTTGTAGGAGGCCCAGAGGTGACACCGAGCACGGTACGTATGGTGACGTGAGCACACTGACTCCTCTGGAATCGAGGAGTCCCAGTGGAGAGCAGGTGTGAAGGTCATACTGCTTCCTCCCTAGAGAACAGGAAGCATTCATGCTATTGGCAAGGAGCTCAAACTAGCCCCCAGGCCAACCAGAGCAGAGCAACACGCCGGGATGGGGAAGACAAAATGACTGAGTGCTTCAACAAAGGCGCTGGTGACATCGGTTACACACCCTAGTCCTGCCAGGTCCACGCGGCTAACGCTACATTAGTGCCGCTCGCACACAAAACCCGGCATGCCGCTCCAGCCTCGAACACGGCCACGGCCACGGCCCCTGCCTTCCAAAGCCCTTCAAGCACGTTCTCCTTAAAGACAAATCCTCACCACCTCTCAGGGTCGGGGTTGCGGGCCTGTGCCGTGTCACAGAGGGGGGAGAGCGCACTGCACTCGAGAATGAGGTGACTCACCCAGAGCAGTGGCAAGGCCAGGACTTGAACTTGGGTCTCCCGACCCCAGCCCCAGCCCCAAGCTCTTGCTACTCACTTCGCCACCACTAGACACATCGCCCACGCACTCAGCAATCCTGGGCTCTGGATAACTCGACTACTGAACATCCCAGAATGCCACGGGGGTCACCCGACACCACACTTTCACTGGACACACAGCTCAGGGCCCGGTAGTAGACCCAGAATGGACCCAAGGTCAGAAGCCTCCCCCAGGCCCAGGGCCAGGGCTAGCATCCTGCCTTGCATGGGGTCCACAGCAAACCACTTTCCAGCGCAGCTCTCTATCTCCGATCCAAGCGGCCGTGAGTGAAGGGCCTCCTTGCCTCCCCAGGGGTGAAAGAAACAGTCATTACTGAAGGATTCAGAAAACTCTTTGGAGAGGCCAAGACTGTGGATCGTAAATCAAGAGCCCAGACACAACACTCTGACAGCCTGGCCTTTGGCATCTTGTATTTTCAAAACAAAACGATACACCAGCGCCAACCAGGATTATCAAGATTTATGAAGAACGCCAAACAGAAGGGATAGAAGGGGATAGAACCAAACTTACCAGGCCCAGGATCTGCAAGACGCTGAAGTGATAAAAGAACATGAGGCCAGTCGAGAGAAGGGCCCAGCGGAAACTGCTGAGGGGCTCCGGGGTATAAGCACCTGGGGGGAAAGCGGAGACAGTGAGACAGCACGTTTGGTGACCCTCTTCTCCTCCCTTGTCCCACGAGGGTGCGGGCGCTGCGGCCACAGCTACCGCCTGCTGTTTACCCCCTTCTGCTGCCCTGCGATGGCTGCTCGAGAGACAGCCCAAACCGATTAGCTGGGTACTCCTATCACCCCTTCCAAAGTCTGTTCTGCCACGTAATGCTGGGGCCATTACAAAGAGGGATTTTTTTTTTTTTTTTTACTGTTATTATAAAAGTAATACAGTCGGCCCTCTGTATCTGCAGGTTCCACATCCACGGGTTCCACTAACCGGATCGGTCCATGGTTAGTTGAACTTGTGGATGCGGAATCCACGGATCCGGACGGCCGACTGTACTGCACCGTTTTCTATAAGGGGCTTGATCAGCCTCAGATTTTGGTACCCGCAGGGGTCCTGGAACCAGTCCCCCTCGGACACTGAGGGATGACTGCACGTGCTCACTAAAGGAAACTTAGAAAATGTTAAAAGGTAGAAATGAGATGGAGGAAACAAAGAAAAACACCCCCGGCGCTCTACTAGCTGAATGTGACCACTGCTAGCACGTGGGTGTGTCTCCTTGGTTCCTGTATGCCTTGGGAGCTTCTTTTCTTTCTTCTTTTGATTACTAATTGGAATTTTACTGTATATATAATTGTATAGCCTTCATGTCCACATTTATTTTAATCATTCCCTCATGTGTCTAAAGAGAAACGTCACTGAGGAAGTATGGCATGGTGGTTGAGATGTCACACAGATTTGGTTTCAAACCTGGATTCTACCACTTACTGGCTGTGTGTGACCCTGGAAGAGTTGTTTCAACTCCCTGAACCTCAGCTTACTTGTCTGTAAAGTGGGGCTACTTCTGAGTTGTTGTGAGGAGTAAAGGAAAGAGTGTATTGAGAACTCTTAGTACGGGATCTGGTACAATCAAAGTGTTCAATGCGTGTCAGGTACTGTCGTCACCGCAGCGCTATCATCATTCAAGTAACTAAAGAATGCGCCATATCCAGTTGTTGTGCCATTTCCCAACCATTAGACAACTCTCTCCCCCTTGGAACAGCAAGAATGATGTATTTTCCCTCTATCGTCACTCAGGAACTCCTATCCCAGTAGGCTTGGATGTATTCTAGACCCTGCAGAGCAGGGGCGTGGCTTATAGGATGCTATGGGTGCATGCATCAATGGGGGTGCTCCGGAATGGAAGGAACCTGGAACCCTCTACCTCAAGCAAGTAGGCGGCAACAGGACATCCCGGAGTAGTGTTTTCCCAAGTCAGTCTTTCACAGATTCATCCATTCATTCACCAGTTATTAGGCACCTATTATATTCCAAGCCCTGCGCCAAACTTCGGGGAAAGGAACATAAAGAAGACGGGCTCCCTGCAGCCTCAGATGCGCAATCTGGCAGAGGACGCAGACAAGCTGCTAACGATGAGAATAACATAAAGACCAGGTCTGTGCCACGTATTAGGGGAGGACGGAACTCAGCTTGGGGGGCGGGCGGGGAGACTGATTTTTGGTGGAGGGGGCACCGAGCAGAGTCCTAAAGGACAAATGGGACTAAAAGAGAGGCCTAGGCATTCCAGAGCAGCAGCCTGCAGGAAGGCAGACATCCGTGGGAACGAGCCAACTCACAGAACTATGGGGAAGAGTTGAGACCACAGGGGAATAGGACTCAGAGGTTGGCAGGGCTAGGCTGCTCCCAGCTGGGCCAGGTAGGACCTTAGGAGCCAGGCTGAGGGCTTTGGGCTTCATCTTGTGCCACAGGGTCATGACCCTAGATGCCTCAAACCTCAGGCAGGCAGGTAACTGGGAGCAGGGGGGTGACCAGACAACAGGGATGCTGGAGATGGGCCAACTGGGAAGCCCAGGCCCCTTCTGAAGAGGTCAGCCACCACTCAGTTCCACCCAATCACTGCCCTACGGGGACGTGGGCCCAGAGTTGCCAGTGTTTTCACTTTTGCAAGAGAAGCCAGAAATGGGAACTTTCATATGGAATTTCCTGATTTTTAAACGTTGGCAAATAATTCAGATTGTTTTAAGAACGCTCAACGGACCACACGAAACATGTCTTCTTGGATGGCTTTCAGCTCATTGGTGGCCAGCTTCGAGCTCTGCCGCAGAGCCACAGCAAGCGGCGGAGGGGTCTGAAGCGGGAAAGTGATGCGATCAGACGTGTGCTTGAGAAAGATCTGCCTGGCCGGGGTGCGGGGTGTGGGGTGTGGGCTGGAGCAGAGAGAGTCGAGGTGGGGGACTGAGACAGAGACTGCTTCAGGAACCCGATGACAGAGGAGAATGGATAGCTTTGAAGACAACGGTGGTGGCCCTGGGTTCTAGCTTTGCATCACTGGGTGGATGGTGCCATTTACTGAGATGGAGAAGAGGAAAAGGCAGATTTGGGACAGAAGGTGGAGAAAGGAGGCCAATTTTAGACATGTTGAAGTTGAGGTGTCCGTGAAATATCCAAGTAGAATTGTCTCTTAGGTGGCTGCCTGCACTCTGGGAAATGCAGCGTGACGGGTGACAGTGTGGGCACTGGAGCCGGGCAGACACAGGTTCTCAAATCCTGGCTCTTGTCGCTTATCGACCTCAGGGCCTTGGGCAAGCCTGAGTATCTCTTGAACTCAGTTTCACTCATCTGCAGAATGGGGTGCCGCCGCCTACTTCACACGGTCGTCGGGTAGGTAAGATCACTTAAGCCATGACTGGAGCGCCATATCTGGGATCTAAGAGATGCTGATTATTTTCATTATTATATGAATCACAAACTCAGTGAAAAGGACGGGGCTGAGCGTCCATATATAGGTGTCACCAGCACAGGACAGTAACTGAAATCACAGGAGCATATGCAGACCGAGTGAGGAAGAAGATCAGAGGCAGAACAAGGAACATCATGGTGGGGAGTGTCGAGGGAAGGAGAGGAGTGAGATGGGGGTGACTGAAGCCCCCCCGGGTCTTCTGGGGGAGAAGCTCAGGCTTGCTCTGTGAACAAGAGGCAGGCTCACCACACATCTGAGTCAGACGGCCCTTTGCAGGGATTGGGCTCATCCGTCCACTTCGTAGATGGACAAACCGAGGCTGGGAGATGGGCAGTGCCGCAGCCAAAGTCAACAGCAGAGCACTGGGCTCTCAGACACAATGCCAAAGGACTCACTGCTCAATGCCCCCGCTGCCACTTGTCACAGACCTCCAGCACACCACGTTGTACCAGCTCTTTATCTACCCGTCTAGACGAGTGCCTCGGGTCGAGGACTGCGTGGGATTCGTTTCTGTGTTCCTAGCAGATATCTAGCACAGAACTTGGAAGGCGCTTATACTGTGTGCACTTTCCTGTCTGCTGGATGAGTGGGGATTGGGTACCATGTTGTCACCCTGACTGCTGGGGACGTAAAGGGGAAGAGGGCACCTGGAGGACCGACAGGTGCTTAGAGCCCTGAGCAGTTTTCCCCAGGTGTCCCTTCCCTCCAGCCTCTGCTTGGCTCCCCCTGGTGGCAGCAGGGCAGTAGTGACAGACCCCATGGGCCTGGGGGTGGCTGCAGGGGGAAAAAAGGACCAGAGGGGGAAGTATCCTCAGCCAGACTTCAGCAGCCCTCCCCCACCCTCCCCTAAAGCCCCTGAACCCTGTCCTGCCCTATATATGGGGGGAAAGGAACGCTCAGGCACTGCCAAGGGGCGCTCAGTGCTCTCACTGCGACCTCAGGACCATTCATTCTGTGTTACATCACCCGTCCCACGTCAAGACGATTAGTTCTCTGAGGGAGGGGCCGTTTCTGAATCACCTCTTCACCTCCAGCACCGGATGCACGGCAGACACTCAAAAAATCATCACTGCTTGGGAAATGAATGGGACAGGCTTTCTGGAGCATCTATAACACTATAACCCTTTGGCTCAACAATGCTACTTTGAGGACTACCGTCCAATACCTCAAACACCCAACACATGGCCCTTATTTGCACAGAGATATTTACACCTGCACTACCTACTATATTGAAACACTGGAAACAAACCAATTGGGGAGATAAGTTAAGTAAACTCTGGTACCTCAGTATTGTGCAACAGTCCGCTGCCATTCAAATAACAACCAGACAAACTATATACCTGTGTGGCAAAGTCCCTGGCCCGTGATGGCAAGTGTAAATGACAGAACGCCAAACAGTACATCAGTGATGGAAAATACAGCTTAGTGGTTTAAAACAAAGGCCTTGGGGTCAGACAGCCTTGGGTTTGAGTCCTGCCTCTGCCACTGCCTAGGGGGGTGACCTTGGGCAAATTGTGCCACCCCTCTAAGCCTGTTTCCTGTAGCAACGTCTATCTCTCGGGGCTGCTGAGTGGAATAAGAGATATAAAAAAAGTAAATACACCAGCTAGCCTGGCATACAGATGGTAGCTATTTTTATCATGGCAACCACAGCCATCCAAAATCTCATAGAAGACTGGAAGACGGCAAGGAATCTCGCAAAGAGGTGACCTTTCTCTGTGAAGGGGGACTTTGTGGCTTCCTCTGCCTTTTCACTGCTGTTGGTTCTTTTCATCGCAAAGGTGATCAAATATTCAATCTCTTTGAAAAAATAGAGACAAAAAAGAAAGCACCATGAGAACAGATGACCCAGTCTACACAGATATATGCAAATTGTATGCAAACGCACATCTTTCTTTTTTTATATACCTGGATGTGGCCCTTGGGAAAATGTCAGTGAAAAACCAGTCTTCTTTTAAGAGAAAATAGAAACTTAAGCACGTTCAGAAAAATTAAACACATAAAACTTTTCTTTTTTACTTTAAGAAAAAAATAAATGTGACATTTTCTGCTAGCATCTTCTACCCCAGGAGGATAGAAGCATTTCAGCTCTAAAGGTAGGGGGAAACCGAGATAATAGCTTTTTCTGAAATTGATTTCTGCCAGAAGGAAGTTTTATGAGTGCTGGGAGAGACATCAACTGTGCCACCAGCAGCCAAGGCCGATCCCCAGAGGCCTCTCCCAAGGGCCCTTTCTCTCATCCTCTAATCCCACCCAGGAAGGGCTTACACTGAGGAGATGAGACTGGGCAGGACGGCATCCTCGTCTCCAATCTCCCTCCTGCTCCCTTCAAGTCATTCACTTTTACATATTACCCATTCGTTCAACACGGACTGGCTGCACGCTGGGCAGACTCCATGCTAGACAGTGGGGAGACGGAGGCCAAGACAGGCCGTGCCCTTCAGAACTACCCTGCAGCTTACCCGTGAGCAATGAGATGGTGCGATGAGGTAAGCGCACTAAGTAATGGAGACACTGAGGAAGGGGAGCTGAAGAACATGACAGTTTGGGTGAGTTTTGAAGAATAAGAAGGAGATGGCAGCAGGAGCTTAAAGGGAGGAAAGGACATTCCGGGCGGCAGGGTGCAGCCTGGGAAAAGATGTGGAGGCATGAAGCAGCATGCCATTTGCATGTAATCCCAAGCAGGTCTGTGTAACTGGAGCATCAAGTGGGAGGGGACACGTGCCCAGAGATGAAGCTGGAGAGACCGGCTCAGGTCATGAAGAGCCTTGTCTGCCGTGCCCGGGACCTTGGCCTTTATCCTCTTCACAACGAGAAGCCACTGAGAGGTTTGAAACAGGGGAGTGCAAGGTCAGGTTTCTGTTTCAGCTAGCTCGACTGCTCTGGCAGCAGTGTGGGTGATGGACAGGAGAGGGATACGGTTGAACACCAGTTCGGATGCTGCTGCAGGAATGGATGACTTGGCAATTCGTAGGGCACAGAGGAGGCACCTAGGTTGACTCCCAGGTCTATGAGTTCAGTGACTGAGAGGTTGGGGGTGTGCGGACACTGAACGCCTATAGGATACCCACACGGACGTCTCCAATTGGCTGTGCAAGTCCAGGTCTAGAGCTCAGAAGAGGGAGATGTCCCAGAAACAGAGCTTGGGGTATGGATAAGATCAACACGGAAGAGTCCACAGAATGAGATTAAAGGACCAAGGACAGAGCCTGGAAAACAGAAATATTGCCAGGAGAAAGACAAGGTTAAAGACTGCCACGACGAGAGAGAGTCATGGACATATACACACTAACAAACGTAGTAAGGTAGATAGCTAGGGGGAAGCAGCCGCAAGGCACAGGGATATTAGCTCGGTGCTTTGTGACAGCCTGGAGGGGTGGGATAGGGAGAGTGGGAGGGAGGGAGACGCAAGAGGGAAGACATATGGGAACATATGTATATGTATAACTGATTCACTTTGTTATAAAGCAGAAACTAACACACCATTGTAAAGCAATTATACCCCAATAAAGATGTTTAAAAAAAAAAAAAAGACTGCCACGAGCCACACGTGGCAATTTACATTTAAATGGCTTAAGATGAAATAAAATTAGAAATCTGGTTCCTCAGTAGCCCATCACATTTCAAATGCTCGATAACCACACATGGCTAGTGGCTACCATATTGGACAGGGCGGAGAAATAACACTTCCCATCAACACGGAAAACTCCACTGGGAACACGCTTCTTTGTAGAGGTACGGTAAAGACAAACACTTCCACTGGGTTTGGCAACATGCTGGTCACTGGTGATCTTTGCCGTAGCGGTTTCAGGAAAGTAGCGATGCAGGAGCTGGGTTGTAAACAACTGAAGAAAAGCTTTCCAGGTGCACAAGGTAAGGAAGGGAATGCCAGGAAAAGGGAACGGGATATGCAAAGTCACAGAGAAATCATTAGCCAAATTCCCAATGTTTCGATCACTTCTCTGAACGTTCCCTTCATCCTTTATGCTCTTCCCTGACCTACCTCTCCCCACAAGGAACCTGCTTCATCTCTAGCCCTCTGAAGTAGTCACTGGTTTATTTTCCCCCTGGGCCCAGGGAGAGTAGGGAACTCCTTTCTTTGCATTGCTATTTCTAACCCACTACCCTTCCATTTCACAGTTGTCTACAGACTATGGGTCATGGTCCTTAATATTCCTCAGGGCTATTAGTACCTGGCTCGGTACCTTTCTCTCCAAAAATACCCCCATCTTATCTCTTGATCTTTTCAACATATGCCTAACGTGAACCCTCCAGTACCCTGGCCTCTCAGCTCCCTGGCCTCCTCTCCTCAATGATTTCGTCCCCGTCTCACTTCAGCCAGTCGTTCTCAAGCTTGTGCTTGAGACCTTGTAATTATGAATATCTGGAGCCCCTCGTTAAGTCAAGCATTCCCTCTTCACCCACCACTGCTATCTTTCCAGCTGACCCCTCTAACCCTGACCCCAACACTTCTTTGACGCCCCCTGGAATCTGTGATCCATTGGTCCTCCCACCTTTCTTGCTGTCCCTCATGGCTCCCTCTTCTCTCCTTCAATTCCATTGCCCATTACTCGAATTATCCCTGGCATACACCTTTGACTTCATGGCATCTCTCATTAGCCCCGTACTTATCTTGACAAAAACCCCAGCCCTGGTTAAGTCCCAATCTCCTCCCCCGCCTTGCTTGCACCTACACAGTTGAACACGGCTGGAGAAAAACATCTGTGCTGACTGTTCTCACATCAGATTCGTGATCACAAACCTCAAGTGCATCTTTCATGTTGCCAGACAGTCATGCTACATCGAGGAGTTCTTCTCCTCTACTGGATTATTCCCATTAGCATATAAACTAAACATACCGTAACAGCTTCCATTCTAAAACAAACACACACACACACTTGACCTCACTTCGCCCCTGCAAGCACCTCATCCTCTGTTTATCTGCACAGCAAAACTCCTTGAGAGAAATGTCTATACCTGCCCTGTCTAACATGGTAGCCACTTCCATACGTGGCTGTTTAACATTGAGATGTGCTACTAGTGTAAGCTACACTACTGTATTTCAAAGGATATAAAATATCCTGGTAATAATTTGATATTAATTATTTGGGGGTGGTAATATTTTACATATAGTGGGTTAAATATCAGATATATTATTAAAATTAATTTCACCCATTTCTTTTACCTTTTTTTTAGTGTGACTACCAGGACATTTGAAATTACATATGTGGCTTACATGTTTTTATTGGACAGCACTTGTCTATATTCCGCTGTCTACAATTCCTCTCTTCCCATTCTCTCTCAACACGAGCTAATCAGGCTTCCGTGCCTACCTCCCCACCCCTCCCTGCACCAAATCAGCTCCCATCAAGGTCACAAATAACCTTTTCATTGCTAAATCCAGTGGCCAATTCCCAGGCCTCATCTTATGCACCCTTTCTGTCTTGAAACGTTCTTCACTTGGCTTCTGGGATGCTGCTGTCTTAGTTCTCCTCCTGCCTCACAGCCTGCTTCTTCTCGGTCTCCTTTACTGCTTCCTCCTCATCTCCTTGACCGCTAAATGATGGAGAGGATCAGGCTGCAGAACTCAGAGCTTTTCTCCTCTCTAAATACTTTCATTCCCTAGGTGATTTCAACCAATCTCACGGCTTTAACACAATCGGCGTGCTGATGACTCCAACATTTACATCTCAGCCTGGACCTCTGCCTTGAACTCCAGGCTCACATAGCTCACAGTCTGCTCAGTACCTGCACTTGGATATCTAAGCAGGAATCTCATTCTTAAACCCAGCTTTTGATCTTGGCTCCTATGGTAGATTGTTACAGTACTGGCTCCCAGTGAATCACACCTTCCCAGTATCCGCACCCTTATGTATTCCTCTCCCACGATGATTTGGCCAGGTGGCCCATCTGGCTCAGCCAGGGAACTTGCTTTGGTCAATGGGACTTCATCAAAAAGATGCAATCAGAGGCTTCATAAGCTCTTATGAATTGGGGCTTGCCCTCTTGGAATGCTGCCCTGAGATCCCATGAGATGCCATGAAAGGCCTTGTGGACAGAGAGGCCCAGCTATCCCAGCTGTCCCAGTTGAACCCAGGCAGGACCAGTAAGTAGAAAAAAAAATGTCTTAGCTCAGGCAGCCATAACAAAATACCATAAGCTGGGTGGCTTAAACAACAGAAACTTATTTTTCATAGTTCTGGAGGCTGGGAAGTCCAAGATCAAGGTACTGGTAGACTTGGTGTTGGGTGAGAACTCACGTCCTTGTCCATAGACAGACATCTTTTTGCCATGTTCTCACATGGTAGAACGGGCTAGGGAACTCTATGGTCTCTTCTTATAAGGGCACTAACCCCATCCACAGAAGCCCCACCCCCATGACCTCATCCAACCCTAATTACGTTCCAAAGACCCCACCTCCAAACATCATCACATGGGGGTGGTGGTGGTGGTTAGGACTTCAACATAGGAATTTCAGGGGAGGAGACAAACATTCAGTCCATGACAAAGAATGACCCAGTCAACAGACACAACTGTGAAAAATAATAAGTCATTGTTTTAAGCTACTGAGTTTTGGGGATGTTATACAACATTAGATGACTGAAAGAGCACTTCCTCCCCCGACCCTCCAAAAAAGCAATAAACAAGCACAAAACCCCTTCTCCTAGTCTTCCTTATCTCAATAAATGGTAATTCATTTAAGTTACTAAGGTCAAAAACCTTAGAGTCATCCCTGACTCCTCTCTGTCACATCCCACATCTGATCCATCAGCAAATCCTGCTGGCTGTGCCTTCAGCAT